GTTTTTTATTTGGATGTCTCTCTGTCCTATCTATAGCACAGTCATCTGAAGAGTCTCCTAATGCATACAATGCATTGTTGAATAATTGCGCATCTGTTTGACATGCCATACTGACCTTCAATATTTGTTCGCAGTTTGTACACTGATCTTCTTTCGTAACTTTTGTAATGTCAGTTAGCAGAAGAAAATCCCCATGTCCGCTGGCGCTCTCTTCAGGTATACATAATTGTTGAATAGCAGTCCATAGTTCTCGTATGCAGGTCCGAATATTACTGAAAAGGTTCGCCACTTGTTCACGGATTCGTGTGAAACGAGACCGTTTCGCCATGTTGTGTGTGTAAGCAAGCGTTCATGTTAAAAAAACACGGAACTATTCAAGTGTTCACATCAGGAAAAATAACGTCGTCCTGAAAAGCGGAAGTCGCTAGAGGAAGTGACGTAACAAAGACGAACGTTTAACGTCATTGTCATTTACGCGCGTTTTCCATTAATGACGCCAATAATGCGAGCAGTTTACTTTTTTCATTGATGAAATCTTCATAACAGTCATGAAATGGATGAAGGGATTTCAGTTATTTTCATTTTCGACAGCTCAAAGTAGTTATTCGTGTGTGTACGTACACTGTATATATTTTAACGTACAAAGCACACTGTAGTGTTTTGTGACATGTATATCTACTTTCATTTTCACCGTTCTGCCTGTTAAAATAGAGTGCAATTAGGAACGTGTCTCTACTCTAGTCATCCTGTCAACTCCACCATTGTTTAAAGTTCCTTGGTATATTTCAGATTGCACTTTAATTACTGTTAAATAGCGTGTTATTATCTATAGTCATGTGATTAACAATTAAGATGTAAGTTAATGTATCATCTTGGGAAAACAGTACTTTTATAGACATTCAATTCACCGTCGATATTTCAGTGGTTATTTTGTCGTGTAGCGTAGTGGTTAGCCCACACGCCTTTCACCAAGACGGCCGGGTTTCGATTCCCCGATCGGAAGGGGATACCAATAATGTAGTATTATATATTCATGCGTGTATGCATTGAAGCATATATGTGCTTAAAGATTTATATGATTGTTGTAATAGTTTTGTTATTAAACCACATCGTAAATTTCAGTTTACGTGAATGTCGAAATGTTATTGGAGTCACTTGCCCATCCACGAGGGCTTCATCTAGGTAGTCATGTTTCGCGTACTACATGCGTGCTACCAGCCCCATCAAGAGTGATCTTTATGTTAATACGTTCATACAAGTGTAATTTGTTTTATTTCATAGTAGACCGAATTATAAATAAATAATTATCTTTTTAAATACAGTATAAAATCTTAGTATTTATTTTACTGCAGGAAACGAGAGAGAGTGTGGAGATGTGCTTTACGTTCTTTCTGTAAATCGTTCCACTGACCGTTGTATATAATGTATGTAATATAGGCATGTGATGGGCCATTCAGTTACAGTCAGTGCAGTGGAAACGAATTTTCGAGAAAGGATGGAATGAAAAGGAGAAAGCCACTAAGCACGGGACGTGACGAACTGTTAAATAGCTGAAAGTATGGAATAGTGCCAGGATATCACTGCGCTGGCTGTGCTGGATGGTTCAATTTTCATGACAAATTTTTAAACCTACTATAATTTGTACATAAAAGTAAAAGTGAATGTGTGCATTATATTTTGAATATTAAGGATGTACATATATAAACTGCAATGAATAAGTAATAATCTCTCTCTCTCTTTTTGGCAATGAAATATGTTTAAACTAAACGAAACGAAACGAAAAAGACTCTAGAGACGCGCGGCGAGGTTCGTCAGCAGAGACTACAGATCAAGGGATCCTGGGAGCATGTCCGCCATCCTACAGAAACTGGGCTGGTATACACTGGAGCAGAGGAGAGCGAGAGCGAGATTAATCATGTTCCACAATATCATCAAGAAAAAGGTGGACGTGGACCTCGGATAACACCTTAAGCCTACCTATTTCGGAGTGATCACGTGCTCCTGCAGCTGTTCAACAGTATCGTTAACCTAACGATGTCGTTAAACCATGGTTAACGCGCGACGCCCCGTAACGACATCGTTAGCTTATCGATAGTTTTGAACAACCGGGCCCTGGACCCGTATTCCTGAAACCGTTCTCGTGCTCAAGCATGGATTTTGTGCTCAAACCAACTTTCTTGTAACTCACTTAAATCATGTCAAACGATCAAAAAGTCAAATGTTAGCATAGAAAACAGTATTTGTTTTCCCCAATCATTGGCAACACATGTTTTTATTATTAATTTATAAACGGAACAAGAAAGTTGACTTGAGCACAAAATCCATGCTTGAGCATGAGAACAGTTTCATGAATACAGGCCCTGGACGCATATTCTTAAAACCACTATCCAACCCCATCCTAACTAGATGTGGTTCATACTAGAGGGGGTCCTAGGTGAGATAAACCATAGACTGACCCAGTCATTTCAATCGATGAACCAATACACTTATTTAATCCAATTTACATTGACCTTTGATTTCTCAGCGCATTGTAGCAAGTTTGCTGTTGTTGCTTTCAGACTTTGGGTAGATTTGTTATTTGTTAAATCAAATCCATCAAATGACCTTGACCTATGACCTTCAGCTGCCATGATAATCTGTATGATGTCCTGTTTAACTGTATCAAGTATGTAGATATTCTTTTGATTGGTCAATCAAATGACCTTGACATTCATTGATCCCTTCTTCCTTCCATATTGTAAATAATATGTATGGTAAAGACTCGGCCATTACTCAGCCCGGGTATACGTAGTGAAAAGGCATCCCAATAATCTACCTGAAGGCTTAGTTTAAATGTTGTCATTTTTTTTCAGTCGCATATCAGAATGTTATTTTAAATCCATCATGCAATTGCATATGTTCAATTACCAAAAAGAAATCGCCATTCAATTTTACAGCTGAAAATTAAGACTAAAACCTAAGACGGTTTTATTATGTTGGTTTTGGGGTAAGTGTCTAAGTCTCTCTGCCATGATCACCAGCAGTTGACAGGTCAAGTTAGTCAGTGACCTTTGACCCATGAATGCTGACCTTTAGAAAATTAGTAATGAGAAAACTACACATCATATGACCTTGAAAAAACTCCATTAGAGGTTTATAGGATTAGAATCATGAACTACAGATTACTTCTAGTCCAGTGCTCTATGAATTGCGTTTAATGGAAATTTCCTCCTCCAAAGTCAGCAAGAAAAACTAAAGCCTCTTTCACGGATCTAGTTCAACTGGTGTGTCTGTTTTTCAATGTATCATTTTCGGGCATAAATCCTGGCGGACCTGTAAATGTTTATGCAGGCCTTGCAAGGCTTTGACAAAGCAGCATCAGATAACTAGGTCCAACCTTATTTCATAAACGAACACCACTTGTCTTTTAGTATTGCAGAGTTATCTTCTCTTGTAAGCAGGTATTGATTGTTTCTTGATTGTGCTACATATAACTCACTGGGACATTTTTTTAATGATCAAAATGACATTTATAGGTTCCAGAACTTTGTTAAGAAGCAATAATATACCTAAATCAGCACAACATGGCATCAATTTTTGAAAAAACAACGTAATTTTCTCACACAAACCAATGATGTAACAATCAATACCTGATTCATGAGGTGACACGAAAGTCTTATTTATTATCTGACTGGTATTCCGTCTTTGCGTATTGCAGAGTTATCTTTTCTTGGGAGCATGTATTGATTGTTATGTCATTGGTTTGTGCTAGAAAATTACATCGTTTCCTCAAAAATTGATGACGTTACTCTCACTAACAAGTGACGTAACAATCAATGCTCCCAAGAGAAGATAACTCTGCAATACGCAAAAACGGATTTGATCACATTATAAGCCAAACAAATATAGTTGTTTATACATTTTTTATTGCATGAATCATATGTACGTACATATACACTATGTACAATGTAAACTTCATTGTACCAGACTCATTTCTCTACACAGATCCACGATCTGGTAGAACATGTATATCTAACTATAAATTGGGAAATAAAGGTAAAAAATAAAGTTATAAAAAAAAAAAAAAAAAAAATTACAAGCTATCCTTCCCAGGATATTACATAACCTCACTGTTGTCAAACTTGCAGCGGCTGTTTCTGCCGATATCAAATATCAACTATCAATAAAACACAGATTATATACATACTGACCCGCGGTAAGTGATACTGTTTCATCTGAACTGAGAAACAATGATGAGAAATGTATTGAGTTAACACACGAAATGATGATTTCAATATAAAGAGATTTACTCCTGGTTGTCGTAATGATATGTGTATATGTATGTCTAAAAATAAAAAGGGAAACATTTTTACTTTACCATATACTAGAAACAAAGAGCTTTCAAAACCGTTTTTAAAAATTCTATTTTTCAAATTATTTCGTATTATAGAATTAATATTTGATATTCAAACATTCAATTTAAAATACATTACAAAATATGTTCACCCTAGATAATATATATTTCATTTGTCCAAAAAATTAAAATTCATTTTTATAAAACATGTCTTTTTGTCAAACACACATTAAATGAAATTTTTAATATCATCCATAATATTTCTTCTCCAAACAGATATTACTGTAGTTTAAACAGGAGGGTACATAAGGTCGAGAACAAGAAACAAAAACAATGTATACAGAGCTGTCGCATGGCAATTAAAATGTATTTTTACACTCCTGATAAATATACATATCAAAGTGCAATAGTACGACAAGTATCAGTGATGCAAACACTTTAAACAGAAAATGAGTTTTTTGGTTCTGAATATTGATGCAGTAATGCCCAATGATTTTATCCTGATCACGACCCTAATACTCCACAACTGATGCTTTTGAAGCATGACGTCACAGACGAGTGCTTTATCGACAAATCACTCACAAACATGGACATGTATTGATTTTATCCGGGATGAACTATCCTTCGTAGCCCTGACAGTCAAATGTCGACCTTAAAATTGTTTTCGTTACATTCATGGCTTTCTTCAAATAATTTAATGACTAAAACGTCGATTTGAACTTGCTAGTTTTAGAAAATTGCAAAACCATTTCATTTTAAAAACTGGATTCGTATTTCTGTGACAATGCCTTGGTTGATAGTTGTAAGAGGCCTGCTCTTTGATGTTTATAAATACACTACGATTTTATACAAATAAGAACTCTATGGAGTACTACAGTGTCTACAACTTCTACTTCACATACAAATATAACGATAGTTTTGAACCTTAAGATTAATTCAATAAATACTGAAGAAAATCTAAAAATGTTTATGATGACTTAAATGTTTTCTTTTGATATGCAGGTTGAAGAGGAAATCAAAGATCAGAATGTTTTTCTGGTTTTTTTCCCAAAAATAAATTATTCATCTAAAAGATGTATATGTTTTTTCATAGGAACATCCGAGATAACATGTTGTTAGGAATTTTTAAATATGTCCTTTAAGAGATTGAAATGTTACAAAGCAGGTTCATGAAATTGAATTAAAGTTGTTGCTTGAACAACATGGATAAAAATATAGATATTCCCAGTTTAAAACGTTACTATCATATGAAAACATTGAACACTACGCTCTCAAAAGTTCTGTTTTGTGAACATAAATGTATTTCATTGATCATCTGTGGCTAGAAGTACCTTTCATCTTAACACAGATAAATAAACATTACATAAAAAGTCACAATTCTAAATATGGCAGTTTTATGCCATAGCAACCATTTGTTCAAAGTGAGGCTATGGGACGTCCTGGGGAACATTGTTAAGACTTCGTCATAATCTTGAGATATTGAAGTGCATTGTGGGCTGCCTGAGCATGGGCCTCGTCCACAGTGTTTCCTGTTCCATGACAAACAGCGATCGGCAGGGTTGTGAGATGGACCAAGCACTGGTGCTGGGCTGTAAAACAGACATCACCAACAGTTAGACGTGTCAATATACAACACCTGGTGGTTGAAACAGACTTATCAATTTACACATCACCTGGTACCTAAAAGTAGTTTTAATATCTGCATTACCTGGTCAATGGTGTACAATACCTTGCAGGCAGATCTTGAAAAATTCTACTAGCCCCACTTATATTTTCAGAGTAATTTTGAGACTATATACTAGTCCTGGCATCAAATCTACAAGCCCATGCATCAGACTGCTGGTATAACTGATTTGCATTCATACCTGCATGAAATTGAAAAAAAAAGTTCAAACCTTATATCTACAATCTAAACTTTGGTTATTACTGACCGAAATACAGATATTTCCATATATTTTCTATATTGAACTGTCGGTGTCATCAGTTCAAACATGATTCCTAGAACAGCCTAACATCACCAAAATGTTTCCTTCTAACTAACAGATGTCTCATTGTTGTTCGAAGCGTGAGAAGAAGCTTCAAAATGACGCTAATTAAGTTGCGTTCATAGCTCTTTGAATGCTATTTCTTCTGGTAATGCTTATTGAAGAACTTGCAGGGGAAATGTAAATATAGAGCCATGACCCCACCTACCTGAAGCACTCATTTCAGCGATGTCCATGTAGCTGACTTCAAAGCGTTGAACTTCAGCGATCTCCTGTAGCATCTGGCAGTAGTTAGTGGAGGGAGCATTCAGTGGCTGCTTCTTCAACTTCTGCATGGTTTTATTGTCTGATTTTAGGATTTTCTCGTAAAACTTCTGGATCTCCTTGGTCTGCTGGGGGTTGGGGACTGGGATCTTCTTCTTTCCTTCCTTCAGGGCAGTGTAGGATGCTCTAAGCTCAGATGAAGACTGAATAAAGGACAAAGAGTCGTCATGTTGATCTTAATAGAATCAGCACTTTAACTTCGGACCATATCAAACTTTTATTACATTGTTGTGATTATTTACACAGTAAGATTATACTACACACATGATTACTGTATACACATACACACTTGTGTATCCTGGCTAAGAATGATTTCCTGAATACCATCCAAACCTATAGCCAACTTATTAACATTAGACATGCTGAGGTTTGTTATAAACCTGTTTTAATGTTTCTTGATTGTGCTATATATTCCGTCATTGCATATTGCAGAGTTATCTTCTCTTGTGAGCAGGTATTGATTGTTACGTCATTGGTTTGTGCGAGAAAGTTACGTCGTTTTCTCAAAAATTTATGACGTTACTCTCACAAACCAATACCTGCTCACAAGAGCAGATAACTCTGCAATACGAAAAGACGGAATAACACACTCGTGAGAATTTTTAATGATCAAAATGACATTTATAGGTACCAGAACTTTGTTAAGAAGCAATAATATACCTAAATCATCACAACATGGCAAACATTTTAGCCTGATAAAACATTCCATAAATAGGACCATTCAGTTAACAAAGTATAGTATTTAACCCTTTCCCCTCTATATAACTTTAGTAGACTCTACCATGCATTGATCTGGATGAGTCCATTATGGTCTACAGTGTTGAAAAGGTTAACTTAATAAGCACTCCATCCATTATAAGTGGCTCCTTGGTCTACTGTTTTTCTGGTGCAAGCATTCTTCCACCATATTTACCGATGAACTTCTAAAAAGGGCTTAATATTTATTTCATACTCGGAAGGCTTAGCAATCAGTCCTTTTCCCCCAAATGCTACGTACCCAGTGCATTTATCAAGTCAAATATCATAATCAAGCTGCTAAAAACGTTTTGAAATATAAAATAAGACTTGAAAGAATGTAGATTTTAATTTTGTGGTATAAGCAACTTTTGCTATATTTTAATTTTGTAATACGATCACGATTAATTTTTGGTAGAATTGAATTTCGTTTTACAATTAATTTTTGGTAACTATTTTTTAGAACAATTCAACTTACATTGTAGTCTGATCATTTCATAAGAAATCATTTATTACATATGTTTCCCACAAATGAGGATATAATGCAGTCTTACCTAGTATCTATAGGTCATATCATACACCCATTACACATTATCTTCCACAACCTAAGGACATGATCCCATCTTACCAGTGGCATCTCATCCTCGTCGTCAGATTCCTCGATGTTGGTGGTTTTCTCGCCATCCTGCATCAGGTTCTTGATATGCATCAACATGGTGGCAGCTGCTGCCCGCTTGCCCGATTTCTTGGACCGCCCAGTAGCTAAGTAAAGCATACAACAGGATCACATGACATATATGAGTTATTTTCTGCTTTTATAGACAAAATGTTTTGAACCATTTCCAATTGACAAAATACCTAAAACACAAATGAATTTTTTTCCTATAAAACACAGCAAATTTTCCTCAAGTTAAATTCTCTTACTCTGGTTTTCCCAGGAAAATGAAAGTGAAAATAGATTTGGGAAACCGAGTACATATATATACGTGGAGTGGGAGATCCAACGCCCGTGCAAAAAGTTCAGTGGAGTTCTATGTTACCCAGCAGACGGAGTCCACAACGTTTACGCCAGTCCAGCCGTAAATAGTAGAGTAACCAAAAGGTAAAGAATAATAGAATCTTCCCCTACCTTGAGGTAGACAACCAAAAAAATCACCCCGAGGGTTGGAGATTTCTGTAACACCCTCAAGGTAGGGGATGATTATTTTTCTCCAATCCTATTATTTCAGTCATAGCTCTACCGACAGCAGTCTGCCATGTTAGTAAACAAAAAAACATCTGGCGTATGCATATCGTCATTCACTTTTGCTGACGTCACAATCACCGATGACACATTTTAATGACGTCACAATTGAACACGTGCTAATCGGCACGAGGCTATCTCCCCCTAGGGGGTGACAAGCTGATCTTTCCCGGGTTAAAACGGGAGACACACTTGTGAAGGGTGGGAGAATACCATGTCAATGTCGTGCTGGGTATATTTTACCCAGCGCGACGTTGTCATGGTCTTCTTTACCTTTTGATTACTGAATTTTAGTTTAATTTGATTGATCATTAGTCGATCACCAGTCACTTGATTGGACGGGATGATCGAGTATGATTACAAGTGATTCTCAACACAATTTTTTTTTTTTTTTTTTTTGTAAAATCTGCTCAATAAAAGCCAGTGGCATGGCATTAATCGAATATAAGGTAACACAAGGGAGACCACTTTATATAGATGATACCGTTGGAAGCATGGTTCCACTACAAACAGAACACAATACAACTCCAGCACACATGCAGGCATACACACATAGGGAGATATTAGTCAGGTGGCATAGGATTAGTAGTTAGCGCCCGATATGGTAGCGACTGCAAATTCCTTAAAATTATATAGATTAATGTATGTGCCAATTGTATTGATTGTAAAAATTGTATGTCTGTGTACTGTACGCTTTAGAGTGGCTTATTCTAGCTAGATAGGGTATGTAACCCTGGTAAATACTAGCCGCAATATATCGCTCGGCTATAGAGAACTTCTCTTTAGCTCGATCGGTTGAGCGTAAGACTAGTAAGCCAGAGGTCCCGGGTTCGATCCCATGCGGAGGTAGTGATATATATTTAATTAATCATGCGCTCTGTTACATTGGCGCCTACGTAGGGACCCGGGAAAAATACTCGGCCTTGCTCCACAAGCATCGCTGTTACCCCTTGAAAACTTGAGGACAAGTTCTTTCCTGGAAGGGGAGTATGTAACCCTGGTAAATACTAGCCGCAATATATTGCTCGGCTATAGAGAACTTCTCTTTAGCTCGATCGGTTGAGCGTAAGACTTGTAAGCCAGAGGTCCCGGGTTCGATCCCATGCGGAGGTAGTGATTTATATTTAATTAATCATGCGCTCTGTTACAGGGCACTATATCAAATGCTATATATTATCATTATTACAATTCTCACCATATGAACATGTTTTTAACATCTTCGTACTAAGAACATATACACCTGCTGCATACCTTTCTCTGTGAATTTGCCGAGCTTGACCACACAGACAAACTCGCGTGCATGAGGAGGTCCTTGTTCGGTGGTGAACTCGTACACGGGAGGTTTGATGAGTCTTTTCTGTGTGAACTCCTGAAGCTCCCCGACAGGGTTCCCAGCCCCTAGCTCTTCGCTGTCTGGCTGGCTCTGTCTAACATATCATCAATATTTTTTATAATTATATAACTACCTCTCATAAAATATATACACAAATAACTTGTTCATCATTGACTTCTCATGAAATTAACACAAACACTTTATTATTAGCTCAACTTTCATGAATTAAAAAAGTACATTTAATTCAACTCCTAGGACATAAACAAATAAATAGTTCTTTATTATCACCCATAACCAAAAGATGTATTTTCTGTATAAAACAATTTAAACTAATATTTTTTTTATAGTTTTTTAATGTATTGTAAAACCCCAAATGTACACATGAAACATGTCTTTGGTGACCAATAATTGTTTCTAAAAATCCTTTGTTTATCAAAAATGTTTTCAAGTTATAAATCATATGCTTTTGATAACCAATGAGAAAAGGTTTTTATACACGCAATATCATTTTATTGAGAGAATTTTTACTAAACTTGATGGTAGCATCAGGGTTCCAAAGTTACTGATTAACATCAGGTTACCGAACTTAATGGGTAGTGTCTGGTAACCCAACTTACCTGAAAGAGTTGGGTTACTAGATTTTATGTTATGTGACCCAACCTCGATATCCAGGGGTTACGCTCACTTTCGCTCTCTACACCCCTGGAATATGTCATAGCAAAATCGAAGCTCAGTGTGCGCCACCTTGTTGATGAGACAAGAAGACTAGTTTTATCCTTTGATGTACATCGGTCACGTAACGGTTAAAATTGACAGGCTTTGAAGTTGGGCATCTCTCCTTTGTAATCCTCAAAGGACAAGTATCAGGCTAGCGATTGGTCAGATATTTTTTTTATCTGAGACCAATCAAACAGCTATCTTCGTGCCTTCAATTTTGCTATGACATTATTCCAGGGGTGTAGAGAACGAAAGTGAGCGTAACCCCTGGATATCAAGGATGTATGTGACCAAACTTACTGGGTAGCCTCAGGCGCCGATCCTTCTGGTTTTATTTCCACTCCGTTTGGCATGCACAGGATTTGGTTGAGTGCACTCTGTGCTGCAGCATGTTTTGCCTTCTTCTTACTGGTGCCTGGATTCAACAATACAAATGTTCATTTCTGATTTTTTTGTCTTTGTCTTACTCAAACTTGCTTATATGATATATTTATGTAGTTGTGGAAAAGTAATGTTTACTTCTGTCAGATAATGTTTGTTATTTGAGCCTTCATGGTTTGGAATGAAAATGAGTCTCGCAGAAAAACCAGTTTTCAAAATGACCAGGTAATGGTAGAGACCTACGTACGCATATACCCATAGGCAATTCAATTACCATGAAAATCAATGTAGGTCTACAGGAATCATTCATTTTAATGACCAAGTTGTCTATGAAGTTATTAACTATGATGGATGTTAATCAATAATAAGTATAGTAGTGAGCAAAACATTTACAATCTGTGTATTACCTACAGTTTCCCAGAAATTGACAGAACAGTTTTGTTTAACTAATGATAGTAAAGCAGAGGTCTGGTGAAATATCTGGGATGCTTACAAATTAGCTAACATCCTGTGTGTCCATTCCTATGATCACCTTATTGTAAAATATATGGACACTGACTTTGCACCTTTTTTCTTTAGCAATTCAAATATATTCAGTTATCTTTGTTTCTTCAGTTACTTCCCCTTGATAGTTATTTTATTTATATATATACCACCGAAGCGTGTTTTTAATGTCTCCAAAATTAATCAACAAGTTATATATAGTCCTAGCTGAAACAATGACAAAGAGCAAGCTAAAGGTAGATCTTGTTTCTTGCACTGAACCCTTTCTTTTATAACGTAATATCCAGACAACCGATTGAATGATTATAAATGGCTTACCTTTTCCAGTAGCAATGATGTCGCCCACGGTTACACGCATGATGAATACTGGTTCATGGACAGCGCCTTCGTTAGCCAGCAAGTCATACTGAGGGGTGATTCCTCGCTTTGTACATAATTCTTGCAGGAAACTGATTGGTGTTTTTCCAGAAGGGACTGCCATCTACATGTATGGAAAAGTTTTTATTAAAGTGGGACTTGTCCGCAAAATTAATTTGCAAAATAGAAAGTTTTGCTTTTAATTATTAATCACTCTAAAAACAGAGGACAGTGGGACGGTGGACAAGAAATTTGTAGTTTTGTACATTATATGTGTATACACAATGCAAATTACCCTCGTACTCATTTATCAATATACATCTATACAACTACGTACAGGTGTTATTGCATAGGTTGGTTTTTTTTGTCAGCACCAAAACACTAATCTATCAGATGAAATGACTAAAGACAAGTGTTGGGACTAGAGGAAAATGCTTAGTACCGTTGGAAAGATGGATTTTTTTCTTTTAAAAACCTCTTGTATGCACGTAAAATGTATTTTCCTTCCGCGGACATGAACTCTGTTTCCTCCAAAAACACACGCCATTTCATAGTTTCAAAGTTTTCCTGCCTTCTTCATATATATATGATTCAATGGGGTGTTATTTTTTACCAAAAGTCAATCTCAACTCCTAAAACATTTAGGTCAAAATATAGCTGTACATATTAACAAATTCTCAGGTCCCTGTGCTAGGTACAGTTACCCCAGTTTAAAAGCCTGCGTAACCCTGATAGTATTTCACATTCTATTTATAGAACCATGAGCCCGAAATATTAACTTGTAATAGAAATCAAAAGTGGATAGTATTTTTTTATGAGAATTGAACAAACATTTTTGGAACCGATGGCATTGTGTAAAGGACATTAATATTTATCTAAAATAAAAGTGTTCCGATTTGGGTACAGTGACGTTATACGAGACGATAGAACACGCATGGAGAAATATTTTGAGATAAATACAACAAAAGGTTCCAACGCATCTTAGCTTAGCTTATAATATTGTGACAACTACTGCCAACAAGATCCTGTGCCAACACACGAACACGAGGTTGGAAAGGAATACACAGTGCACACAACTACTATTAAAATTGATATTGTTTAAGGCTTTCAGTCGCTAACGTTCGTTATAAGGTTATAACGTACCCAGCGACTGAAAGCCTAAAATAAGATCAATATTAATGGTAGTTGCGTGCCCCTGTGCACAGTGTGAATGACATGTGCCGATTGTGCAGATTTGTTTTCTCAAAGTAATACATCACCAATTGGAGTAAGGGTTTGCAGTTCAGTGCATGAGCCCCTTATTCATCTACTAAACTTGTCTTTTTAGTAAATATGTATGTGGAATATATGTATTCGGTTAATTCCCCCCCTCACCTTTGCTTGCTGTTCGGAGAGAATGACCGGAAGCCGCCAAATTAGCTAAAGTTAGGGAGTTACTAAAAGGAAGAAAAATATAACCGGATAACGGGCGGTAGGTAAATCTTGTACCCCGTTCCCGGACTAAAATCCTGTACCAGGAATATATATCTCATTAACGCGACCGTTTATATTTTTTATAAGATTATACAAAAATTTTAAACATTATTTTCTCAATGTGACAGTTACAAAAATGTTTATTTATTATCTAATAATTTAGAAATCGACGATAATGTGTATTTCAAGGGGGCAAAACTTGTACGCCGCAGTCAATAACCGTGCAAATCACAGTTTTTCACTTATAATTAGAATTTTAGTTAAAGTTAACATGTTATTTTCATATATATAAGAAAATACCTTACTGTTTATAATTACGTAAGTTTCGTTGAAATAAACGACATATTGCACATGAAATTCTGACTTTGTTGTGATCGCGGGCGAGTATCTTCTGACTTAAATCCTATTTACATTCATTTTTTTTTATAATATGTCATAATGTCAACAAGTACTAATTGTAATGGGGGACCTTTACAGATGTTCCCCAAACTGCCCTCATAGTCGCAAAGATGCATCAGAAAAGGTTCGCAATGCCATAATACACTTCAAATATAAATACTAAATTTGAGTGACATCGCGTAATTTCTGAATTGCGACCAATCAGAAGTGTCTGTGTGGTTGCCTTGGCAACGGTACCCATCAACTGAATTCGCAGTCCCCTAATACCCCTATATACCAATTGTCATCAAAACCGAACAATATCTAAATTTCGACCAATCAGAAACCTGCGTGTGGTTGCTTTGGTAACAAATTATATGCGGTTTTATTCGCAGTCCCCTTATACCGCTATATACCAATTTTCATAAAAATCGAACAATATCTAAATTTCGACCAATCAGAGGCGTGGAATTAGCAGCCATTTTGTTAAATCACAAAACAAACACCGCAGTTGTATTCGTAGTGCCATACTACACCTATGCACCATATTTCATCCAAATCGGACAGTAATTACATTTTTACCAATCAGAGGGAAAAAACGGCGGCCATTTTGTTGAAATGTGAAATCTAAGCAGAGACCTAAAATAGGTCTATGATCTAAGCTACGGAAGTGATCATTGTCCTATGATACACAAGAGACCTAAAGTAAAGGGACCGCCGACTCCCAGTGGCGGGAAAATATGTTACCGATTTCGCAGTGCCCTCACCGGGTGTCATACAATATCAAGGCCGATAACTCGTACCGTCTATTCGCCATTGGTAAACACTCGAGTGCTGTCGATAGATATATTGTTAAGCATCGATTTCACACAACATGAATTAAACGAACTGTGTGAGGTATGTGTGTTATTCTAATATCATATTCCCACACCTGAAATAGAAAAAAAGCAATATCTAAAGCATTATTCGTGGTCAATAACATAATGTTCACGAAGCAGCCGAGTCGGATTTTTTCAGTTTTTAGTCTGTGGTTTCACTTTCACTTCACCGGTCAGGTGCCGTTCTGGTGATAACCTCTTGTGAGAACATTCGCCTATTTTGTATGTCAATACTTGTCCACAATATATTTGTAATCAATGTGCCTTGTATGTATACTATGCTATGTAGTGAGCTGCACCCTCATGTACAAGCTGACAAGTACACATGCCGTGATGATGATGGTTCCCTTGTTGATGATGGTTCCCTTGTTGACTCACTCTCTGGTTCCGGACAGCAATATAAATATCCTAAACCTTCTTGGACACGTCCCGTGTATACTTTAGGCCATGTTGCTTTATGTTTTCAAAAATAATCATAAGAATAAGAAAGCAAATATTAATAATCAGATTATTGTTTTTATTGCACATAATCTCATAAATTTATA